ATTTTGGCACTAATTTGCCTAGCGCTTTGCAGATAAATATTTGCTCGCATAGCCACCAATCAAATTAATTCATTTTCTAGCCAATCATAAAGCTGCAGGTAAGGTAGCAACCAATCCTGGCCTTCCAGTAAAAAAAACCGCTGAAGAAGACGAAGGTACCAGAGCGGGACTCTTGTACAGGAAAATGGACAGTAGTCAGCACGGGCCGGTGAGTTCTGTTTTGAATAAATGCGACTGTACCGATGTACAGAATAAATTACACAATCTAGCAGTAATGATTAAAATGTAACAACAACGCGTTTAATTTGACTCTAGTTCGATTCAGTTGTAGCCGGTTTAATACAAAATTACCGAGACAAAGAACTTTAAAGTTTTTTTTTATTTAAATAATTAACTTCCTTAACCAGGATTACGGAAACCAAAATGATGAAATACTCCATGAAATAGAGATTCGGTTTCTTTTTTTAAACAAACTGTCCTCCATGATGTATATAAAAATCTTGTGATAAATTTTACAGCATATTATATTGTTGTGATCTTTTATTTTTATACCTTAGCTGTTGCTACGAACACAGATCTTGGAGAGGCTCTATGAACGTCTTAGGGGGCGTTCACATATCGCGCCTAAAAACGCGAGGAAAACGCTAGGCGCGTCGCTTTCTCCTTTTTTCCAAAAGCGCCCGGGCGCTTGCGCTCCGGAAGTGTCTGTCGTTGCTAAGCAACCATCAGCCGCGCTCTCCATTAATTTCAAAAATGGATTTCCACCACCGAAAAACCCTTGCTGTGACTCTGCTACACGATTTATTTACGCAGAAAAGAAAAAAACGCCGTAGTGTTTGGGTGCACCCCATTCTTCAAAAACGTCAAAAACACGGGGAATTTCACCAGCTGATCCAGGAGCTCCGCCTAGACAACGGGAGGTTCAAAGCCTATTTCAGACTTAACAAGGACCAGTTCGATTATATTTTAGGAAAAGTTGGCCCTAGCATCAGCAAACAGAGCTTCTGCCGTGAAACCATCTCTCCTGCACAACGGCTCTGCATTTGTCTGAGGTAATTACCGTCATAACCGAAATGACCAAAACACAAAATAAAAGAAATATAACTGAAATAATTCTATATAAAATCTATATAAACAATAACAAATTATATATAAATCAATTCTATAAAAACAATGATGGATTTAACAAGGAATTAGTTATATGCATTAAAATATTTTTAAGTAACTAGTACAGCAATTGTGTGTGTGTGTGTGTGTGTGTATATATATATATATAGTTTACATATATATAATCTATTATAATTAACTTAATTATGGTCTTATGGACTATATTATACACACATTAAATATATAAATGTACATTTGTTACAGGTATCTTGCAACTGGGGATTCTTTTAGGACCATCGCCTTCAGTTATCGTGTGGGTCACTCTACAGTTGCAGGCATCATAAAAGATGTGTGTGAAGCCATATGGGACAACCTGGTGGAAGAATATATGCCGCCACCTGACAGGGAACGCTGGCAAGAAATTGCAGCTGATTTTCAGCAGCTATGGAATTTCCCGAATTGTGTTGGAGCAGTAGATGGCAAGCACATAGTGATCCAGGCCCCTGCCTCCAGTGGTTCCCTTTACTTCAATTACAAAGGCTCCTTCTCAATTGTTCTTCTTGCTGTTGTTGATGCACGGTATCGCTTTCAGGTGGTGGATGTTGGGGCTTATGGCCGAAGTAGTGATGGTGGTACATTGGCTGCTTCAGCATTTGGAAGAGCACTCTGTCAGGGCACCCTTGGCATACCAGAGGACAAACCTCTCCCTGGTGCAGAACATCTGGGGCCCATACCGTATGTATTCGTTGCGGATGAAGCCTTTCCCCTCAGGCGCCACATGATGCGTCCACATCCTGGCCAGAAGATTGGGAGAGAGCAAAGACTGTATAACTACAGGCTTTCCCGTGCCAGGCGAATGGTGGAGTGCTCNTAGATCAGGCAGAGGAACCTCCACAAGTACCATCATCAGAACCTGACTCAAGCACAGGAGCAATGGGAGATCTCCACAGGATGAGCAGCAACAATTCTTCTCGAGAAGCAATCACCATCAGAGAGAAGTTCACACAGTACTTCTCATCTACCGAGGGTCCAGTTCCATGGCAGGAGAATATTATTTGATGTTACATTAAAAAAAATTTTTGAATGTATTGCATGTATTTGTATAAACATATGTACATAATTTATATTTATTTATAATATTTTACATATAAATCTAACATGTTTTCCTTAATATAACAAAATAATAAACTAATATGTAATATACTACTATACTACTAATAAATTAATTACATTTCAATACAACTTGCCTCATTGCCATATTTTCAAATTATAATTTATTGATCAGTTCATTCGTTCACATTTACATGCATTAATCAACATACACTTTTTAATTAAAAAAAGAAAAGAAACAAAAATTTAAAAATAACACAATAATAACAGTCACCTCTGTCTCCACTAACCTCCTCACCTTACTCAAACTCGGCTTCATAAAGAATTCGCTCGATTTTCATTCGCACTTCAGCTTTTTTTTGCAGAGGAAGTCTTTTAAAAGTTCCAACGAGGCTCATGAAATAGAGTTCATCGTAGTCTTGAGGTTTACTTAGGTTGTTTAGAATGGTCTTCTGAAATTCAGAGAGGTCTAGTTCTTTACTTCTCTTCCTCTTTCCCACTGAAGGACATCGAGTAACTGGGGTGACAGGTGTAGCACAGGACTGGATGTTTGC